AACCTGGAACTGGCAACCCTAGTTAGGACTGGCCCCAATGAGTTACTCACAACAGCCACTGCGGGAAAAGTTAGTCCCACAGAGGAGCCAAGCAGAAGAAGTGCCAGTGCTTCTGACAGGGAACAGTGGCTGAAGGGGGAGTGGGTGGGGAAGAGGAGCCAGACCCAGCACCTGGCCAATGGCACGTGAGTACTCTTGAGTGGCAGCTGACAGGCCAATGGCTGAGGGAGCGCATTGCACAGCCAATGGGAGAGCTAGAAAGCGCCACTCCACTTCACAATTATATATAAGAAGAGATTGTATTTACTTGGCTTTGAATGTGTCATACGTATACTTTTCATAGTGGTGTTTTCTAGTATCCCATAGTTTCTGCAATATTTTTTTTAAATTTAACATATATTAAAAACACTTTACCAGCTGCTTAGGTTGAGTATCTTGGCACCTCTGCATGTCTACCATGTGCTTAGGTTGAGCTAGTTTTAAAGATTGCTGTAGCACTTGGCTTCAGTATATTTGAAAAGATCTGAAACTAGCTTCTAATTGTGTGGCCAACACTGTTGCAATTAGAGTTACCAAGTCCCCCGGGGGGCAGGGAAACCCTCGCCCAAGAGGCCCGTTCCCTGCCGGCATGGATCGGGCTGCCTGGGGGACCCCACCCCCAAAGCGCACAACGTGCCCACCGTGAACACATCACCTGGAGGTGACGTATTCGCGTCGGGCTTGTTGCGTGGGGACACTCTATCATCTGAGGGAAATTTCCCTCGAATGATTGTGCCCCTGCCCCCAACGTAATTACGCCACTTCCAGGTAACGTGATTGCGGTGCGCACGAAGCGTGTGTACCAGGACACTCTAGGGGACATCCAGGAGTACCCCCACTATTCCAAAGGTACAACTTGGCAACCCTAGTTGCGATGAGTGTGTGGCTGTTGTGTGAAGTTATTGGATCATGCCTTTGACATCACAGGTGAGAAGAACTAAGACATCCACTCTTTGTATAAATGCTTTATGATGGATGCTTGGCAGATATCACTGTGAAGGCTTTGGCATCACGTTGGATTTGAAAGTCCTGTAAAGAATATGCATTTACCAGATGTTATTTCCAAGGTGTTTACTGATTTCCACATTTTTGGTAGAAAATGATGGCTACAATTGTGTAGATGAAGGCAATATAAGTAACATTCCCCCAACTCTTCAAGATTATTTTTTATGCACAAACATGTACATGTTCAAACTTGTCTGTGTTATATTACATTACAAAAACAGTCTTGAGCTAGTTTGGAGCCTTGAGGCTTTAAAATAACCTCATAGTTTGGTCCAAGAGTTGACCTAATTTCATGAGTACTTGAAAAGGTTGCATAAGATTAAGTAGAGAATCCTAGATTATTGTATAGCAGGAGATGGGTAAAATGCATCTTAATGCTGCTTCTTTTCTGTAGAGGTTCAAAAGCAAGTAATTGCTTCTGTGAACCACATTTTAATGAAATGAATGCAAACTTATACTAGTTCCTTTAACAGATCTTCTCAGTAAGGCGCAAACCACGAACTGAAGCAGATAACACATGCCCAAGTGATCCAAAGGAGTGCACAGCTGGGCTGTGAATATGAAATAATACTGGTTAGTTATTTTGGCCTGAAACAGTATGTGTTTGACTCTAGCTTCCTCTCTGAAATAGCTGATTGGCAAAATTTTAGTATTTTTGCAAAACATGTGCTTCACATGTGCCATTTCAGTTGTTGGATTACAAAGAGGAGCTTGAAATACTGGACTGGTTTGTGTATGCAATTCCCCATCCAGTTGGAGATAACATGCATGGAAGTCCTCTTCTATGTCAACGTGCATGGAAGTCCTCTTCAATGTCAGTAGTGACCTTAGCTGGCCTGAGATGCAGAGCACTAGCATGCTCTGAAATTATTTTAAAATACATGAGACAACATAATGATTAAGAATTTAATTGAATAAAACACTTTGAAAGGTAGACAGTTGGCAACAGGAGCCAACTTAGACTAGGACACAGTTTAAAAAAATATTGAGTATGTCTTGAAACTCTTGCTTTGTCTGGCAGCTTGTCTATAGATAGTCTGTTTCTATTCTAAATAAAAACCATCAGAAAAGAGATCCAAAACATAAGTTTGTTAGAACATTCAAGAGTTATAGAGACGTTGTTTATACTTAATGCATTTTTAATCTTTAGGATAAATAAAACATGAGAATAGAGCGGTTTTGACCTGCCTCCTTTGTTTACATTATTTGGCTGACAAGAGAGTCAGTTAAATGTTACTAAACTTCATTAAGCATGTGATTTATTTATTTATCAAATTTCTACCCCGCCCTCCCAGCCAAAGCCGGCTCAGGGTGGCTTACATAAAAACAAATAAGTTACATTAAAACATGTTACAATTAAAACTGGCCAAAAAGACAGTATGTTAATTAGAAGTGTTTACATTTTGAATTGTGTATTTCTAACATTTTATATGAATATCTATATGAATATCTATGTACTAATAGCGACATGTGGGCCCCATCTGCAGATAACTAAATCTACGAATTGGGCCCACATTGACACTGAACAGATTCCCATGCAAACTTGGGGGACTTACCAGGTTTGCAGAAAAATCTGAAATAAAAAATAAAATATATGGGGGTTTAAATCCCTCCAAACACATTTTCTTGTCTGCACATATGCAGACAACACATTTAACATAAGAGAATGGAGCTGTTCCAGGCCTGGCCACAGCGGCAGAGGATGTCAGTTGCCATGCGTAATACTAGGTTGTGGGGTCTGGAGCTGCTTCATACTTGGCAATTGGGGGGGGGCATGGGATACCCCCTGCAATTATCACAGCCCCCACCACTGCATAAGGAGGGAATTGGATGTAGGGGATGCAGGAGTCCCAGCTGTCCCCCAGCTGGCAATGAGGGCGCCAGATGGTGGCAGTGGTGATGTGAGGTGAGAGTTGTGCTGGTCTGGCAGTGGCAACGATGGGGGAACCAATTTGATGTAGTGGTTAAGAGTGCAGACTCTAATCTGAGAGAACCGGGTTTGATTCCCCACTCCTCCACATGCAGCTGCTGGTGTGACCTTGGGTCAGTCATAAGTCTCAGAGCTGTTCTTTCAAGGGTAGTTCTCAAGAGAGCTCTCTCAGCCCCACATCTCACAGGGTATCTGTTGTGGGGAGGGGAAGGGGAAGGAGTTTGTAAGCTGCTCTGAGACTGTAAGTGAAGGACGGTGTATAAATCCAATCTCCTCCTCCTCCTCTTCCTCCTCCTCTTCCTCTTCTTCTTCTTGTTCCAGTGGGTGCTTCAGGACTGTACAACTGGATGTAAATTAGTTGTAGTAGATTTAGCTGAATAAATGGATTGTCTAATAAGCCAGACAATAAAATCCTTAGGTTTGTGTTATCTCTGAATCCCTTTTCAAAAAATCCTTTTCTGTGACACAATACAGATTTCCATAGTAAGGAGATGGGGAACCCCATGACCCTTCTTTCTTCTCCTCCTCCCACATGAATTCTGCCTTCCCCTTTTCAATGCTGAGTACTATGAACCAAACAAAACCTGTTGTTTAACTTAAGTCACAGTATTGCTAGTGTAGTAATACAATTATAACCTAAACTTTTTTTTGTTTTGTATTGAGCACTAGTTAACTGTTTGCCATGTGTTAGTTGTATCTAGCAGAACAGTGCACACAGGCACTTGGCACATAAATTTCTGCAAACCTATTTATCTTATGTTGCTTCTTATTCAATACCCTCTATGCCTGGGCCATTTTCTAGTTTCCTCCCCAAACCATATCTAACTAGGCTTTACCTGCCAGAGAGAAGGTACAGCATTTGATTACTGAGTTCCCACAAATGCAGTGATGGTTCCAGATACAGCTTAAATTATATTATGCCACATACACAACTTTACTCTGAATTCATTAACCTGAAATAACTACCATCCTTTGGTTTTTATTCCTGATCACTAATGTGGATTATTTATTCAAACTTGCTTTTGGTTATTCCTTCAGCCACGTTACCAATCTGGCCTATTCTCTGGCTCTTCCACCATGTTCTAATATATTGTTGTCTTCCCCAGCAGAAATTTTACACACACACACACACACACACACACACACACACACACACACCATATATATCCTGTCCCTCTAAGCACAGCCCAGGTTTCCTTTGCCCATTGCTTCAGACTCTTATAACATTCAGTTTGTTCTCAGCTTTCTCTCTTCTGATTCCTTTCCTAACCTCTTGCGGTCTATGTGCCTCCCTCTTTGCTACACTTTGCTGAAACTGCTCTTGCTAAAATAACTGATAGCCTTCATTGCAAATATAAAAGTCTGTATTCCACACGAGCACCGCAACCCTAGAGTCGGATTCGACTGACTTTCGAGCAAGGGAAACCTTTACCTTTACCTATTCTACCCCCACCTCCCAATTTCCTTATACCTTCTGCCTTGAATAGAGTTTGACTATTCTATACCAGTGTAGGTATGTGTTGTTTTTTTAAGATAAGCTGCAGAGAAGACAATGCCATTCATGTTAGTTCAGGCTTACAAACTAGTGCATCAGAGTTACTGACCCAATGTGTGAATGATTTGTTTGTGAACCAAAAGGAAAAAGGTCCAGTTTTGTGAAGCATGGCTTTGTGGTCACTGCGTGAGTAAAACTGGCTTCACAGGCCTAGAGGGACTTAAATGGGGGAGGGTCTTGGGGAGGCCCCAAGTTCAATCCCACGTGTTTCTGGTTAAAAGATTCAGGTGGTAGGTGTTTTGAAAGACCTCTGCCTGAGACCCTGGAGAGCCAGTGCCAGTCTGGTTAGATAGTACTGACTTTTAATTGATCAATAGTCTGATTCATTATAAGGCAGCTTCCTCTGTGTATGCAGATCATGTATTTTTCTCCCCATACCCTATGGTTATGCTTTTATATTTAAAGTGTGGCATTCTAATAGTTTGTGGAAGGAAAATAGTTCAACTATGTATCATTTTTTCATTTTTTTAGTATTCACCCAGAAAGAAGAAAAACAAAATGAGCACCTAAGATGTGAGAGATCAACTCCTTTCTAAAGGACCATATTGTTTGCAAGATGGATCGGAGTAAACGAAATTCAATAGCAGGATTCCCTCCACGCTTGGAACGTGTTGAAGATTTTGATGGGGGTGGTGGAGGCGATGGGAGCGTTTCCCAGATGGGCAGAGTTTGGACTTCTTCGTACAGGGCCTTGATAAGTGCCTTTTCAAGACTTACACGACTTGATGACTTCTCCTGTGAGAAAATCGGATCTGGTTTCTTCTCTGAAGTGTTCAAGGTGAGTGAGGAACTTTAATGATTCTCCCCTTTTGCCATTTTCATATAGTGTGTCTCCTCTTGTTTGCCGCATACAACTTTTGCCTATGCTTTGCTTAGGTCTATTGAGTGATAGGGAGTTTAAATGCCTTATGCATTCATTCCATTTACCTATAATAGGTCCCTAGGAAATTTAAGGCACAGTGAGATGGTTTGACAAGTCAATTTGCATTCAAACTGTGTTCATCTAATTTCATTTCATATCCATTAAATAATTCATGCATTTTAATATGTATGTGTTAGTGAACTTATGGGTTGATCAGAGTCTAGAGCACATCAAGTTCACAGGAGCAATTTTTCTTTTCCTTTGCACTAAAAAAATGTTGCTGAGGATTGGGAGATGTACTACAGTGTTACACAGTGGGCTGCATCAAAAAAAGGGGAAATCAGCCAAAATTGGCTTCCACTTCACTCTTGAATGAGTGTAGCAAAATTCATTCGTGAAACAAAAGTTAATGCACATCAGAGAAGGGGTGTCTTTGACTGATTTCCTTTTCTTGATGCTGCTTGGCACATTGTTCTGAAGAGTTCCTGACTTTCATCACAGGCGTTTTGGCAAGTGTTGGGTGGTGCTGGGGGAAGGGGAAGGTGGTAAACATTCTACTAACTTTGTTAGCAGATGCTTGGATACAACACTGTGTCTTTAGCAATCAGGTTTGTGGAAGAATATAAATTTACTAAAATATGTTTTGAATTGTTTAGCCTGCTGTTATGAAACTTAACTAAAGGGGCTTGCATCTAGGGTGAAAGCCCTATATCTCATCCTTTTTCTTTTGCCTTCCCTCCCCTGTGAAATTAAGAGTGGTTCCTGGGGGAGGGATTTTGCTCTGGAAAATGGGGAGGGGGCTTAAAGATCAGCTTTCTTGGTAACAGTTCAAGTTAGTAGTCATGTAGAGCTGCTTTTGGTGGGGAAAGAAGCAGGGGATCCACAGTTGGACCTCCTACATCTTATTTTGGCGGTAAAACTTTTTATTAAAGACAATACCATTTATTTATAAAATGAGGCAGAAATTAGTCACTGGTAGGCAGGAACAACAATGCATATCTAACTTCCTGTACATGTCAGATGCAGATAGAATTAGTATCTAAACCGAGACTTTGCAGAAGAACACTATTTCATGGTCTTCAAGTCAACTTTCCCCAGCAGTCTGTTCAATAATATCCCAGTGTTTTGGTTTTTTAAAATTTTGCATCACTTATATCCTGCCTTTCTCCCCAATGGGGACTCAAAGTGGCTTGCATCATTCTCCTCACCTCCATCTTATCCTTACATCAACCCTGTGAGGTAGGTTAGGCTGAGTGTGTGTGACTGATCCAAGGTCACCCAGCAAGCTTCCATGACAGGGTGGGAATTTGTGCCTGAGTCTCCCAAATCCTAGTGTCAACAGAAACCATGCCTACTGACCCCATGTTATAGACAAAACATAAACTGATGGAAGTCAGAGAGAAGACTGGACTTCCTGGGGAAATTGCTATTAGCTAATCTTGCAACCTGCCCTTTTAGTTGAGAGAATTACTTTCTTAGGCACTTTTTAGTATCTGATTGATCAGGCAGAATTTTTTTGAAGTATGGCTCTTGCTAAGTTTTCAATTACAGTTGAAAGTTCCAGGGAAAAGTAATCCTAATTCAGGGATTTCTGGGATATCTAAGCAAGAAATCAATCTTATTTAGCTAGATAATTTGGGAAAATAAGCAGTACTCGGATTACAACACTTTTTAGAAATACGTGCAAAGATAAAAGGGAAGAAAGGAAAACAATGTAAGCCACTGTGGGTCCCCATTGGGGATGAGGTGGCACAAGACACTCAGCCGTCCCTTTGTGTCTAACTGGCAAGCCAGAGTATGCCCAGTGGTTCTCTCTACCCATCAGATGATGGAGAGAGTACTTTGTTCACAAAGCTTACCTTTAACGAGGTCTAGGGAGTTTCAGGGTTGCTGCATAACAGTTTCAGGAACTCTGGTCATGATTTGCTGCACACATACCACATTTTAACGTGAATATACTGCTTTAGCTGCCTTCCTTTGTTTCAGCCCTTGCTGAAACTGCTATAATGAATTTGCTCCTCCTAAAGCCAGACCTCTGGCTTAGGCTTGTATAATAATTGTATAGTATAGTCATGGATACTTATAATGCATGGCTTCCTTGTAGTCCAAAAGGGAAGAATGCTAGTCCTTAACCATATTTTAGCTATGTATAGAATTTGTGATCTTGTCTGAGTGAAGTTCTTAATTGTTCTTGCAGTCCTGTCCCCCTGGTCTGGTCAATCAGATGTGTGCCATAAATTCTGTACTCAGTGCTTAATTCCCAGGTGTACTGGGGCCCAGTTCGGATTTCCATGGACCTGATCTGCACAGTGGTTTAAAAGGATAATTGCTTGGAATGTCTTTGGGCTTCCAGTGTAGCCTGTTCTGAAAGGAACACTGCAACTTGCAGTGTGCAAGTGGTTCACTTTCAGCAACATCTGTGCCTTTCCTTTTTTTTTCTTGTTCTAGGCAAGTGTTTTGATGCGGATGACACTTGTGGCTTTCCCCATCTGCATGAAATGTTATTAGTTCTTCTGTGGGGGAGGAGGGAAGGGGAAGATTGAATTAACACAGGAATTAAGACAGCTAAAGGTAAGGGTGAAACAGGAATAAATGAAAAGAAAGGATGAAGCAGCAGCTGCTGCTGCTGCTGGAGGATATGGCATAAGAAGATAAGATCAAGCCTGTAGCCAAAAATCTTGTAAAACAGGGAAATGAATCCATTGAACTGGTACCATCTTAAGCTGGCATGCTTGTATTCATACATAAATAAAGTGATGCATTAGGCAGAAATGTTTGTTTTTATTATGTTTACTAATGTACATCTAAAATAAAAATGTATTCCTTCACCATAAGCCTTTCACAGGTAACAAGATTACATGATGGGAAAGTTAAACATTTAAATTTTAAGGATTTGTGTACCATTTATGTATTGCTATAAGTGTTTTTCAAAGCTTAGAAACCTGGCAGAGGGTTATCTGTGCATTCCGGGATGTTAGTGCTTGTGAAATGTTTACCAGTGTTGGCCTTTCTGTTAATAATCTCCACACAAAACTGACACCGCAGCCTGTTAACATGTTTGTTTTTCTTAATAAAAATCAGTAGCAGAACTGAAAATATGTAAGAATTTGTATATGGGCTAGATTGTGAGCCTATTAATGTTTAAGTGATAAAGTAGTTGTCTTCCTCTAATACACCCTGCTCTCAAAAGTAAAGGTGGGGGGAAAGAAAGGAAAATAATGGTGGCTCAAGTGGTTAAGACGCTGAACTACAGGCTGTAGAAGGTCAGTAGTTCAGCGGTTCAAGACCCGGGTGCCGCAAGACAGAGTGAGCTCCTGTCTCTAGTTCCAGCTCCTGCCAACCTAGCAGTTCGAAAGCAAGAAATTGCAAGTAGATAAATAGGTACCACTTCGGTGGGAAGGTAACAGCGTTCCGTGCGCCTTGGTGTTTAGTCATGCCGGCCACATGACCACGGAAACGTCTTCGGACAGCGCTGGCTCTTCGGCTTTGAAACGGAGATGAGCACCGCAACCCTAGAGTCTGATTCGACTGGCTTTCGAGCAAGGGATCCTTTACCTTTACCTATCTTGAAGTTAGAAAGTCCAGTACTGATCCTAAGGTTCTTACCATGCTTAAAAGGCCATAGGTGTCAATAAAAATGTGAATAGCTTTGTAGATTTGTTAGAAAACAATCCAATAGCACTTTAATTTTAATTTAAATTGATGTACAAAAATATAAAAATACATTGAGTGACAGGGTTTCTGCAGACACCAAGAATTTTAGTCCTCCTTTCTCATTCTCCCTTATGAGTGCTTGGTGAAACTTAAAGCTTGTCCAAAGATTTTTTGTGTCCTAGCTGAACTATGATTTCGGCATCTGTCCCTCCTTCATTAGAGAAAAGCGTGAGGGGAGTCTAGAATGAATGTATTACTTACTAAGCAATGTAAAAATAAGAATAGACAAGCTGTTCAAAAGTCTTCCATGCTCCATCATGGCAGCTGTGTTCAGTCATGAAGTCAACAGACATGAAGATATTCTAGAAGCCAGTTAATGGCCAAACGTCCCTTCAAGTCACCATTGTATATGGTTATCTGGAAACAGCAGAACGAACCTGTCGGTCGGGGTGATAGGACTTGTGATCTGAGAGGCACAGCAATTGGCTGGCTGGGCTTTGGGAATTGGAAAGCAACAGTACCCATATTCAACTAGGACCCCTTGGTAGGCAGCTACTCCTGTGCCTGGAGTCCTCAGCTGAGTTTACTCCATATGGGTATTCTCTGTTTCCTGGACAGTGGCAATAACATCATAATTCTGTTTTATTCTGTTTCTGAAGAAGCAAGGCAGCAGTCGCATGCTCCAAGAGCAGCAACAATGACAGCAAGATTGCTGTGCTGAAGGAGCAGGTCCCAGGTTAGAGTAGTGTAAGGTGGGAGTAGCTATTCCATGACCAGCTGTCTTCATAACTCTGTGCAGCAGCCCCTCACTGCAATCTGGAGGAGTTCACTTCCAGTTACCACCAGGAGACCAGCCAGAACAAGTGAACAAGGCATGCAGGAGCAGCTGCTTCATCAGCCACTATCTTCACTAGTTTATCTGACTTGCAAAGGCAGAAGAATGTTCAGGTGACAGGCAGTGGCAGTGCTACTAACCAACCTATATGGTTAAGTTTAAAATGTGATGCTCCAAGCACCAGATGATGGCTCATCCCAATTTTTTCAGATGAGACTGTGCCTCTCTGTGCTTCTCTAGCTGTTAACCGGCTAAGACAGGCACTATGTACCAAGAGAAATCCATCAGGATTGGGAATCAGTGTGCACTTTAAAAGTGTAGAGCTTGCACCAAAATAGGTTCTTTAACTTGAGCCCTGACAGGCAACTTTTTAAAATGTCAGGTAAAAGCAAATAAGCTATTAAGTATTTAGCAAGACCATAGATAG